TGTCAAAACTGTATTTTACAGTCGCGACTGTAAATCTGGCCGATTTGGCGTCTCGCGGTAAAATTTTACAGTTTCCTGTATTTTACAGTCGCCCGGTGGGGTTGTCAAAACTGTAAATAATCCGGATAGAACTGTATAATAGCGTTTACAGTCGCACCGGTGGGGATGCTCTTACGACCCTGTCTCATGCACGGTCACATTAACTACGCAAACCTCCGAGTACTCAATTCCGGCGGCTCAACTTGAGCCTACATTCCCTATCTGCGGGGCCATGTTGGCTAACCAAAGTCTGCACGTAAGCCCACATGATGCTGATGATCCTTTCACTGCAGCTCAAATTCGGGTTCTGCATGACACTATTTTTAGACGTTGTATGACGTACGGGTGATGTTGGTTTGCCTGGTACTCAGGACATCTCTGCGATCATGTCCGGCCTCGTTGCCCCGGAGACCCTGCCCCTACCCGACGACATTCTCACGTTCACCGATCACGCCACGGGTGAAACTCATCGGACGACACTTCAGCATGTCATCGATTTTGCTTTTGTGATCGATGGCGAAAACACTACCGAGTCACATCGTCCGCTGGGTTCATCTTACTGTGATGACCCATCTCTTATCCGTGCTCTCCACCCAAACCCGGTGGTGCAACCTACAGCATCCGTAACTACTGTAAGCTTCCCCACGGGTCCACCAGCACTACCCCCCTATCGGCGCCAACTACTGCAGCCGTCACTGCACATTGACGCATTTCTGCAACAGGAGCTACCTTCTCCCCTGCCGTCTCCATTGGAAGCTCCATGCATTTCATTGGCTGATGACCAAGCAGCTTCCCAAGCACAACGGGTCTCGCGAGCCGCTGCACGATCACAAGTACCCTCGCAGACTTTCGCCGAGGCAGTTTTGACTGATGGCTCTCAGTCGACAAAGCCAAAATCACTTTTAATGCCACTGTCACGCAGCGAGCAGTTCATCGTACCCTAATCTCGCCAACTCTGGTGCACCTCCCTCCAATGGAACTCACGAGTCGCCTCTCATGCGACCCATGGATCGGATTCACCCCTCATCCTGGCATATTCACCTACCTGTATGACCTTTCTTTCGGGTCTGGCAGTCTGTCGGTAGCCCACTTTTTGCCGCTCACCGACCATGAGCGACGAACGTGGAACGATGATGCCGCTGTCAACCCACGGAACTTTTCGGCGTCAGTGTCACCACCCCGTCCGCGCAGCCTCCAGAGCGCTCAAGCCATCCTATATGCGCTTGACACCCTTGATGCTTTCTTCCTCCCATCTGCCTACGGCTCTCCTACAGCATCCCAATACTTCAGTTGCACCAAACGTTTTTGTACCGCTCTCAATCGGCGCTTCCCAATTGCCCCCCTCAGTGTCCCCGTAGTGGTGGCATGGTTGGACGATCAATTTCACTCGTTTGGCAGCGCAATCGCAACCGATTTCCAATATGCTCGTCGTCCTTCCGTTCACACACAGTCCTTCACTACGTTCGACATCGACGGGCCAGCCTCATACCAGCTGCAAATGTCTATAACGCAGGCGTACCCCGTATCTCAGCCAACCCGCACCGTCCATCACAAACCTACACGACACTCGAACACTACGGTTCAATCCGACAGCATCGGCCAGCATTCCACTGCACAGCACTCTAGGGTGGGCATTCCACCAGCAGTCCGAGACAATATTCTCACGTCAGACGGCAAGTCAATTTGTCTGCGTTTCTTGTCCAACAAAGGATGCAACGCCGGTCCTCTAGGTGCATCATGCGGCAGAGGTCCACGGGCCCGTATTCACGCAATTCCTACTCGCCTGCCATCAACTGTGTCAACCCACATAGTTGCACACCTCAACGGCTTGAAACAGGAATATTCGCACCTCGCTTGACTTCGCCGTGGGCGGGACTGGCTCCTTCCGCCCTGGCCATTCATTGACACGTGCTCGCAACTGTCAGCGTCCCCAGTACCTCACGGTCGCACCCCTCATCACGTCAACCAATCGGTCGCCATCAGCACCTCATGGGTTGGACGTCTCTCTAGGGTCGCACCTAGCACCATCGTCACCACTGACTACATCATGGGACCCCCCAACCCCATCGACACCACAGTCCATACACACACACGGTCCACCAACTGCGTGGCATCACTCAGTCACACCATGTACGGTACAGGCCGTCCAGTCCGCTCTTGTATATTGCGTGACCATGGATCGGACAAACATTTCAGCCTTTGCGCCAGTCCAATCATCCCTTCACAATCACGCGCGCGACACACATCAATCTATTCTCGACACTGAGTCAATTAGACAAATTACGACGGCCGCTATCGCAATGCAACTTTCACCAGTGCAACTTTCACCAGCAGCCCTCATTCGTCTGGTTTGTGACGAATCGAATTCCGACCCCCGGCCGAACAAAGCACTCCGACCGGGTTTCCTTCATTATCACTACCACGACTACACCCACGGCTCTCTCCTTGTGGACATCGCCACTCACGGCTTCACCGGTCCATGGATATCCCCTCCCCCACGTCGCCCGAGTCCCTCCCGTAACCACGGCTCCGTCGGCGGGAACATGCCCACGCTACTGCGGCTAATACGGGAAGGTCAGGACTCTCGCTGTTACGTATTCCTCAGCGAGGCCATCTTACCCCTCTGGCGCGATCACGTCGTTTTTAGCCCTCTCGGCCTCGTTCCAAAAAAGGACACCCCATTAGCTTAAACCGGACGGGTTATTCACGATCTATCATTTCCGCTAGGTCAATCCGTCAACTCGTGTACCAACAAAGACAAACTATCTCTTGTGGAATGGCCAAAGTTCCTACATGTCACAAGACGCATCAATGCCCTACGGGCCTCACTCGCACCAAACACCGCAATTAAGGGCATGATCGGTGACGTGGTATCGGCCTATCGCCACCTAAGCGCATCGTGCACCGACACCGTTTGGTTCGGACTCGCAGTCCCCGAAGCCGGTGTAATCGGCATTGACATGTCAGCCCCCTTTGGCTGGTGTGGTAGCCCCAATATCTACTGCGCATTTGGCAACGGCATCTCGTGGCTAGTCTCACGCGAATCGCGCGCATTACTGCTCCCTAAAATGTCGAGTGATCATCGACCCTTCTGGGGTTTCAACTACATCGACGATCATATTCTTATTGAACAAGATATCGGCCATCGACTGTCGTGTGCCAACAATGCCCTCCGACTTGCGATGATGGCAACGCTCGGTCCCACCAGTCTTAACCTACAAAAGTTCACGCCATGGTAATCAACCTTGACTGCACTTGGACTTACGTGGGATTTATCCACCGGCACCGTGTCCATGCCGTTAGCAAAAATCGCAAAGGCACAATTACGTGTCCAATCGCTCCTGTCAGGAAAGCCGTCGACCCGCCATGACCTCGAAAAGACCCTGGAAAGTCTCCGACACGTATGCTCCTGCATCCGTCCCGCGAGGGCGTTCTACCAATGCCTCCATCTTACCCTCCATCGGTTTCCCCGCTTCGGTGCGCACCCCTTGCCTCCCGATGCCATCGCTGATCTGTCGTGGTTCGCCGACATTCTCCGTGTCGGGCACCTTTCGAACGTACCCACAACTATCCTCACTGGCTCATCCTTACCAAGTCCTTGAAATGGACGCGAGCGACGAGGGCCTGGCAGTCCTTTTCCCAACCCAACGTCGTTTCATTCACCTTGAATGGGACGCCGTCGTAACCACGTTGATTCAGCAATGCTCGAATCCGAGAATGGAGAAAATGGCTTCGGTCAATCACAAGTCCGACAACAGCCCACAGATGGCATCCACCCAATCACAATTCTCCATCAACGTTCGCGAGCACTTCTGCATCGCCCTTGCCATCGCCACCTGGGGCCCACTCCTCACCGACCCCCTCGGCCATAATACTGTGCACGTGGAAACCCTCACGGACAATACTAGCGCCCTAGCATGGTCCACTTCGCTCGTCAGCAGCAACTCCTACAGAACGCAACCGGTGGCTCGGTCTGCATCAAGCGATGCACCAACTGCACGTGTCATCCTGGCACATACAAGGGGCGCAGAACACCAACCCCGACGCAGGCTCGCGAGCACGTCGCGAACCATACCGCACCATATGGCAAACCGCAACAGCAGGTTGGACCGAGTCCCCAGTGGCACCCGAGTACCGCCGGACGTACCAAGCATCTCACATCTCCACCGCGCCTCACTGGCCCCATCATCCAACGACCGCTACTCTCGCGTCTGGAAAGATTGGCAATCGTGCCAACACTCCCACGGGAATTCGCAGTGGTTACCTCGAGACCCCATCCTCCAATCCTCAGCTATGTTCGCGTTCGCAACATTTCTCTGGAGCTCCCCAACAAATCGTCAAAACAGCGCTACAACAATCCTGTCCAAAATCGCATCATCTCGCGGCACCATCGATGCTCCCTCAACTAAACTGCACGGCTCAACCCTGCCCACCTTACCCAAATCCGAGGAATGTTGCGTATCCGTCCTCCAATCCACGCCAAAGAACCCGTGTCCATCGCTCTCCTGCTCGCCTTTCGTCAACGAATACGCCTGCCAAGACAGCCACGACCGAGTCATCTGGTGCTCTACGGTCCTGGCTTTCTTCTTTCTTCTGCGTCGCTCCGAATACACAGCTGTCGACAACAAGTCCACTGACCACGCCATCCGGCTCCGCGACGTTTCATTACTCGACAAACTCGGACGGGCAAGTCGAAACTACGACGACATCCGAGTAGTGCAAGTCTGCATTCGAAGTTCCAAGACCGACCAACACTCTAACGGTGTAGCCCTTTAACTAGAAAAGTCGGGTGTTGCATGGTTGTGCCCTGTAGCTGCAGCCTGGGTCCTCATTGACAACGCTCAATCAATCGGAGCCTCACCAAACGACCCAATATGCTGCCCTTCGCGTGGACATGCGATCAAATCAGACGCCATCTCAAAATGCCTCAAGGAAGCGGCCAGCGCGATTGGCCTGGAAGATTCAAAATACTCCACGCACTCCCTCCGAAGCGGCGGTGCAACAGCTCTCTTCCGCGGCGGCGCCTCTGACCTCGCCATGGCACTCTGACACTTACAAGCGCTACACAAGAATCAACGGCCACGAAGAGGCCGGTATGGCGGCAAGGATGGTCTCAAGCGTTCTGTAACTGGAGCTACCGCCACGCCACTCCCACGGCTGGCGGTAACAATACAATTGTTTCCCCCTCATTGCGCAGAAAAAACTCGAACGAAACTCGGTCGTGCGAGCATGACACGAGCATGTCGTGTACGGGGGACCAGTCCAAGCCGCTCACCACCATGTCGTGATATAAATCAATCCCCGCCGCGCCGTCAACACCATGGTATGCAGTCAGCGACGTTAGGTCCAATACCTCTATCAGTACGGCCTCCTTGCGCCATTGCGCCACGTCCACCGCCTAGTGTGTAGTCACGATGCGTCTGCGGTTGACCTTGGTAGAGATTAAGTTTGGCCACCACCACCGCCATGCTACACCTGCGTTATACATTCATCACTACAGTCAATTCATTGCGTAAATGACATTACAGTTCAACGTGCTTCCGCGAATGAGGATGCATGTTCATTCCATAGCTTTGCATGTATTAGCTTTGTAATCCACACATTTCAAGGATGTAAGTCCATGGTTTGCTCCATACCAGTAACGCAGACGAGAGCTGGCTATGCAACAGTGTTGTGGCATCAAGCTGTCGATTGTGCTAGCATGACGAACAACCAAGAAATTGCGTATAATGAGATACAATGTATATTAATTACTTTACATCATGTTAATCAACAAAGGGCTGTACTGGTATATACAAAACGTTGTATCTGACTGTCGAGGTTATGCGGCACGTCATTGGTGGACGATCTCTTGTCTGAACGGGGGGGGCACCGTTTGCTTGCCGGCAAGTGCAATCACCAGAGCCAGCGACAACTTGAGATTGAGATTCCGACTGTTAAGGGAAATCATATACTACTTCGAAGTATATCCGAGCACTGCTACATATCATATCACTACAATAACACACACCAGAATCAACTCAACCCACGCACCCACAACAACTCACGCTACCACCTCGCCACCACACAACCATGCCATCACCACAACACACTCGTCACCGACACGCCACCGAGCCACACCACCCTGTCATCACGAAAGCTTCCGCCATTGCAACAACTTGCCTTCTCCACCGCATCCGGATAACTAATCCGGATACGAAGTGGCCGCACGGCCAGACATGATTTCCGATGACAACAAACTCACAACAGTTATGCATTAGTGTTGTCGTGGTCGTCGTGGCAATAGCTTGGATTGACGATGTCCGAGGTACTGTCGAGTTCTTCGACACTCAACCCACCGATCCTCAATGTGTCTATGATAGTGGCAACATCATCGAGCGCGACAGGAGCCATTATTATCGAGCGCGACAGGAGCCAAGTGGACATGCTTTTAAGTTAATATGGTCATCGCCATGTCCAGGTACACAGGTACAGTAACTCCATCAGTGATCTTGCAATTGACGAAGCCTCGTATGATTGTGGACCTAGGCAAGGCTTCCCACGATTCGTTAATCTACGCAACGAGCTGCTCCCGAAGTTTGAAGGAACAGGTTGTTCGATCTTGGTCATGAATTTCGCGGCTCATGTAGGTTACCCATTGCAAGCGCATGGCCGCCTTGAGCGGCTTCATCCATGCGACGTCGGCGGGCTGGCATATCCACGTGAAGGGAGGTGGTATCTTCTCGAGTACCACGTTCAAGGACTTGGCGCGCTCGATGATAACTTCACTGAAGTGGGCACTAAAATCATCCCATAGGAGAAGGATGGCGTGCAAGCTCTTGCCCTTGCGATGACAGAAGTTGTAGTCGAGGAAGCGCTTAGAAATCTCACTGTTCCACCATGCTGTAGAGTTGGCGTAAAGTCGTGAAGGGTGCCTTTCGTGTAGCTCTTCGATTTCCGGCGACACCAAGGGACCAAAGCCGTTTCGTTGGGTCAGGTTTTCGACTACCCTTGCCTCGACTTTAGCACCAAGAACAGTGGGTATTTCGTCCCTTTGGTGTCGCCAAGCACCTTGGCTGTCATCCGATCTGTTTCGTGCCCAGATCAGCGAATCCATACAGTCTTCGCGCCAAGGCTGTCGATGGTATGCTTTGGTATGTACTCGAAGTTGATTCAAGTTTGATCCGGATTGTAGATCTCCGTGATGTTCTTGTCTTGGATGAGCCGCCGAATACGTTGACTGAACTCCGCCAACGCTGCTTCGCCTTGCTCGAGGTTGGCTTGGCCCAATCTTGTCTTTGCTCGCATAGCTAGCTTCCATCGTTTGATAAACCCCGTAATCCAGTGATGGCTCGCCTTGAACTGCGTGACGCTCAGGCCAACATCGCTTGCTACCTTAAGAGCTTTACATTGTAATAGGAATCTACTCAGCGCTCGTAGCTCTTGCACCCACTGTGCGATTTGCTCTTCTTGTTCCCTTGACAGAGGCGTCGCTGTCCCAGATGGCCGTACGTTCTTGTTCGTCGGAGTGGATGGGTTGCTCGCCATCTTGGTAATGTGCATTCGACTGGCTTCCCACTGCAGGATTTGCTTCATGGCTGACATCCGAGCGATGCCCTGAGCAACACAGAAGAATGTGTCCAGAGCAGACTCCATGGAGTGCAGCTTGCGCCAGTTGATGATATTAGCTACAGACACAGGCTAGTGGCTAATCGTGTAATTGAGAACTGATTTATTACATGTTAATCCTCTATGAAGCTTCTACTATTCTGTTGTTCTAAACATCTATAAAATCTTGGACGGGTGGTCGCGGCTCTTCGGTGTCGACCGTTACATGCATGATGGGCATTTGACCACTGTGGTGGTCACTAGTTAGTGTCACTACTTTGCATGGCGTATCCACAACAGCCTCCCATGCCGAGTAAGTTGATGGCACCTTGAATCTTGATCTTGGAAACTGGCTTGGTGAAAATGTCTGCGTGGAGCGTGTCGCCGGGGAAGTACGCTAGCTCGATCGCGCCTTCCTTGACGAGTTGACGAAGGAAATGGAAGTGCAGGACGATATATTTGGTGCGCTGTAAACTCGTCTGATTGTTTTCTATGAGAATGGCGCTTTGGTTGTCCATGAACAGCGTTGTTGAGTTCTTGCTCGGCCAAGGGAGCTCCGAGAGAAGAGTTCGGAGGAAACAACCCATCTGGGCGGCCAGACATGCTGCGACGTATTCGGCTTCGGCAGTACTGAGGTTCACGATTGCTTGTAGCTTACTGCGCCATGCAATGGCGCCGCCAGCCAACATCCATACGTAGCCACAAGTTGAGCGACCGGAGCTGCGGTCCACATGCCAGCTGGAGTCGGAGAAGCCGACGAGGTTCATACAGGTGGGCTGACTCGTGAAGTAGTATATCTTGACGTGACGTGTACTGGACAGATAGGCAACGATTCGACGCGCGGCGTTGAGATGCATTTAGGCTGGGGTGGAGGTGTAGCGTGTGAGCTTGCCGACGGCGTAGGCGACATCTGGTCGTGTCTTGGTCGAGCAATTCAGGAGGGAGCCGACGAATGCTTGGTATTCTTTGTTGCTGGGCAGTGGGGTCGCATCTTGGTCGAGATCAGTGCCGACTGGCGTGGGGGTATCGACGGGGCGCATGCCCGTGAGTTTGAATCTTTGGGCCACCTTGACAATGTACGATGCTTGAGACAGTGTCGTGGTGCCTTGTCTTGGGTCGAGAGTCGTCAATACCGAGGATTCTCTTGACGGGGCCGAGGTCATTGATCTCGATGGCTTCGCCGAGGGACTCAAATATGTATTGTATCTCTTGGCTTGTCTTGGCGCACACGAGGATGTCGTCGACATAGATTTTGACGATCTGGGGCTTGCCGTCGAAGTTGCGTGTGAGGACGCAAGGGTCAGACAGAGTAGGGTCGAACCCGATCTTGATGAGTAGGTCCGTCAAGTGCACGTACCACGCGAGCTCGCTCTGCTTGAGTCCGTAGAGTGCCTTGCTCTTGAGGGGTGCCGTCGTCGAATCCATCGGGCTGCTTCACGTAAATCTGGATCTTGTCATCCAATCTGGCGTGGATGTACGCGTTAGTCGCGTCTCCATGGTGGACCTTGAGGTCGTGTTGTGTAGCCAAGGCGAGGACGAGACGCATGGCGTCGAAGGTGGCCACGGGGGAGTACGTTTCTTGGAAGTCAATGCCCGGGCGCTGGCGGAAACCTTGGACAACGAGCCTAGCCTTGTATTTGAACTCGGTGGCCGAGACTTCCTTGCGCTTGAAGACCCACTTCGTCTTCAACGCTTGGCGGTCACTGGGGGTCATGGCTGGCTCGAAGCATTCCATGTGGACGAGGTTGTCCATTTCGACCTTGCAAGCCGCCAACCATTCGTCGGACTCGTCGGTCCTCATGGCCTCCCAGAAGTTGGTCGGTTCTGGATCGTCGATATCTTCCAGGTTGCATTCTTCGCTGGGTTCGTCTGGCTCCTGCTCCTGGGTGACCGTACCGTGTTCGTTGTTCGCGGTCCGTCGAGTCTTGGTTGGTGCCTGGACGTGGGTCCATTCCGGTTGTGGCGGCCGCGCATTTGGCAGATGAGTGTGGATATCCACAACTCGTCGGAACTCTTGTTGCCTTGTTTCAACGAGTATCTTCCAACGCGGATGGTTGGCATTCGGTGCGATGCTGGTTCACGATCGTGGATCTGGCGGCTGTGCGCTGTCTCGCCACGGCGTTCGCTGTCGCTTGCCCAACGATGGCTTCGAGGCCGGTAGTCCGGGCATTGCGGCGTGACATCAGCGCTCGAGAGTTTGCTTGATGATCTGGCGTGGCCCCTACATGCGGTGCCAACGTGCTGGCGTGTGATTGGTCACCCACTGGCGTTCGGCTGTGTTGGGTTGAACCTTGAACTTGGGTATGCTCACCCAGCTGGTTTCCTTAAAGTTGGGCGGCCGGTGAATGATGTGATCGGGATGATTCTGGTACCGGCATGGTACTGCGGGTTTGTGCGGGGCTTGGACCAGTGTCTTCAAAACGCAATGGTGGTGTCCCGGCCCCTCGCATCATGTCTTGGTA